AAAGAAAGAAAGAAAGAAAGAAAGAAAGAAAGAAAGAAAGAAAGAAAAATTACCTGTATCTCCAATAGCCTCTCTCGGAAATGATTGGTTGCTGCAAAGCCCTGGAAGCTTTGTGAACCAGCACAGCACCTGCATCCAAAGGAAGATGTGACTGGGGTGTGGCTGGTGGGGTCGGCCAGGACCATGTATGGCTCCTGAGATAGCTCTGTGGGGCAGGGTCTGATACACGGAGTGTGCACCCAGGGAGACTGCTCTCCCTCACGTCAGTGATGCCCTGCACAGAGGTCTGCACACCCCTCCTTGACTCTGGCTTTAATCCCCTTTCACTGGTGAAATCTCAGTGTGGGTTTTTTCATACTGGCACATGAGAATATAATAATATATTTATCATTAGTTTTTTTTTTCTATCTCCAGCTCTAAACTTCTGATGTTGAATGGCCTGAGTATAGTTATGTATTTAGGTGGACAGTAACTGTATTGCCTGCTGCATCTCTATAAATGGAAGCCACCATGCGTCCCGTTGTAGATGCACATTGTAGATTGCAGATGTGCATCCTGGGAGTCTGTTGAGTTAGACGTGTTGCTTTCTAGACCAGGAGTAAAGCTGTCTGTTGTTTAGTTAGCAGGTTCACTCTTGGAAGAACGGTGTTCTCTTCGGTGCTGAATACAGCGCTCAGCTTCACTGCTGCTGTCTGCTCACAGTTGTGAGAGCAGGGTGTTTCCCGCTCAGCAAGATGCTGCCTCTAAGCGCTTCGCCTATCCCTCCCTCCTTCTGACATTTGATACTTTTTTCTTCTAGATGAAGGACTTTCGAAGCAAGATGCAATCCATATTTCCAACGATTCCCAAGAACTCTGAGTCAGCTGTTAAGTGGGAGGAAGTACTGGAGTCTAAGTGAGATGGGTGTGGACGGCTCCGTGAGAATTGCGGCAGGCACAGCAGCTTTGGAAACGCCACATTGGAACAGGACTGGATGACTTCTCTCTAGGAACATGTGCAGATGGCCAGTGAACCCACGGGCCACAGCCATAGCCATCTGCCCATGGTACAGGGAAGGACTGTTTTCCTAAAGCTAAGACCACTCTTTAATTACTGAGACTTCCCCTTGAGGAGGGGTCCCAGAGGAAATATATCTGTTTAGAACAATAAACCATGTTTCAAATTTGCAAAACCAGTAAACTAGAAAATCTTTGTAAGGGCTGGAGAGCGCTCTGTAATTAGAGCACACAATGCTCCTACAGAGGACCGCAGGGCATTTGGGTGACTCAAACCACCTGAGCTACGACTCCAGGGCATCTAATGCCCTCTTCTGAATTCTGTGGGCACCTGACTTACCTGTGAACACACCCACATGCATACACAATTAAAAACTAAAGTTAAATCTCTTTTAGAAACTCAGTAGGTTGTGTGTGTACACCTATGTATATGTGTAACAATAGTAAAGAAGTAGATTAGAAAGTGAGCGAAGGTGGACAATGAAGGGGGTGGAGTGGGGAGAGGAAGGGCGGAAAATGGTGCAAACACAGTTCCCATACGTGAAATTCTCAAAAAATACTAAGAAAAAAAGTCATGACAAACAGACCCCCCTAATAGCAGTACAGACCTCAGTGTATCTAATTAAATGAATTTTAAAAGCCTATCTTATCTCAGATGACTAAGAATTTGGAAAGTGTGTTCCTATTGACCAATCTCCAAGACAGTGAGTCCAGTACTGGAAATGGGTGCAGCTTGTTCTGAACACAGTCCGATTCGACTTGAGTATACACGGCTGAGGGCCTCCTTCAAAGGACTTGTAGATCCTTGCACATGGGACAACACGCCAGCAACAGAGGATGATGACCCAGACAAG